ACCCCGCACAACATGATCTACTCGACCACCATTGTGGTTTACCGCCAAAAAAAAAACAGAGGTGAAAAAAACGGAAACCTGGTTGCCGAGTTCACGAAGTGAATTGGCTTGTTTTACAACGTCCTTGCCAAGCGCCTAAACCCAACCCCGATGGCAAACACCGAGGGGGGGGCTTGTTTTACAACGTCGTTGCCAAGCGACGAAAACCCAAGCCCGATGGCAAACACCGGGGGGGGCGGTGACGAATGGGGGGGTGCGTTAAGTACCAGACGCTGCTCCATCGGGTTTAACGAAACAAGAAATATCCAGACAGATGGAAGCTTTGTGCCTGGTGAATTCGTGTCCAAAACCCCCTCTTTGATTGGACATCTAGATCAGTTGGGACTGGAGTTCGCACGGAGGGAAAAAAAAAAATAGCTACGGTAGCAGACGCGTCCAACAATCATGCATCAGCACCACCAACAATAAAGGTCACCGGCCACAGTCATGTCTGCCGTCGTAGAAAAGCTGCAGCGAGGAACGCAAGACACCGAGCCTCCGATTTTTGACACCATCACTCTAGATTTCCTAAATATCCAAGCCCGGAGCAACGGTTTTGCATGCACTGCAAAAGCAAAGGGTGCAACCGAAGCCGGCTCAATCACCTCAAGATCTGGCTCGAGCAAAGACAGGGGGACGTGCGCCGTGGCCCCGGCATCGAGGTCACGCTCCACCCTCGCCCCTCCCGGTCGGCCCAAGGACAATCTTTTCCGCAGTCAGAAGCGTAAATATGAGACATTCAGAACAAGGGGGGTGATGGGTTGGAACCTTGGCGTCAAGGCGGCAGAAGTGTGGGATGCTACTGCATGCCTTGTTGACAGCAGTACCGCTTCCTGCAAGGCCTTATCAGCACTCGCTCGAGTGTCAACAAACAACTTATTGACACAAATAACTGTCTAGCAAGTCCCGTATAAAACATGAAGCAAAACATGAAGTACATATGTCCATCACCTGACCGAAACACCGCACGAGTTCTCGATGGAAACCCGGGTCCGGACCGTGAGGACTCTCGTGCCGTCGTCTTCCACGCTAACCTCCGCCACCAGGAAAAGCACCGCCGCCGGCGACTTGTCGCGCCCGCCGCCGCCGCCGCCGCCACTGCCCCGTCCGGCCTCGAAGGTGGATCTCGCCTTGGGTGTACTGCCGTCCATACTATTTATT